TCACGTGGAAGAGAAGTGGCATCAGATCATTAGGTCGTGAGGGTGATCCACCCATAAAATACACACAAATGCCACCACCCCAAACCAAATCTGGGAAGGCAGAGAGGGACAGCAAGGGACAGTGGACGAAGCCATAGGTTGGAGTCCGGGGATTCTGCAGGGAAGGTGGAGAAGGAAGGGAAGAGGTCCCAGCACAGGCCTGGAGCAGGGAGGTCACGAGCCTGGTGACTTCAAGCAGAGACATGGACAATTCCCATGGGCTCGTGGAAGATCCCGGATGATGTTTTCCTTCCATCCTACAGTGAACGACTCTTGACCTCTCGTTCCCGGGGGGCGTCTGTCCCATTTCTTGGATCCTGAACAGAACAGAGTTCAAGCCCCCCCCCACCCCGGGAGCCGTTGCAGCCAGCTCTTGTCTTCACACAACACCAGCACGGCTCCTGTCGTGAGCACCCAGAACCTCAGCGTGCTCAGCCCCATGACGTCTGCCCCGTCCCCGACTGTCCCTCTCTGTCTGGTGACACCCACCCTCCATCTACCTACCCTTTACTCTGTTGGAATTGCGCTCACCATCCAGGTGCCACTTCAGAGCTTCAGCAGGATCCGTTGCTTGTCTCCTAGACTCAGGGCTTCCATGTCCAATGGTTCACCTGACATTGCTCCTGAATGTAGTCAAGGCTGAATCCTTGGTTTCCACAATGTCCCTTCCCATGGTCCCTGTCACCTCAGCCAATGCACTTTTGCCCTTCCAGTTGTTCAGACTAGAAACCCTGGAGTTATTCTTGCCTCCCAAATTCCTTTTTCTCCCTTGTACTCTACCTCTGTATTCCAGTGGCCGTGAGTCAGCCATTGGCTGTCGACCTTGCCTGCAAGTCTGCCCACAAAGGTCCTCATGTCCAAGTGTTCAGGCTCCTGCATGGTCTCCTCCCATGCCTGGTCCCAGCCCCACACCTAGAACACAGAGGTGATGATGTGTGGCAAAGCCTCTTCTATGGCTTGCTCTGGGGACGCCAGCTGCCACGTGTGTGCCCCTCCTGCAGCCCTGCAGGGGATCCACAGTAAGAATCTGAGGCATGTGGCTAGCAGCAGGCACCACCTGGCTGTCCAGGAGAGGGCTGGGTTAGAAGCAAAGCCTCCCACCTGGCAGACCCTGAGAGGACTGTGGGGCCAGCCACGGCCCCTGCAAACTCACAAGAGGCCCCAGCCAGATCCATACAGCCAAGCCACATACATGCTCCTGACCCACCTATGGGAACTGGAGGAGATGTAAATGCTTACTGCTGCCTTGAGGGCATGAATACTGGGAAACTCTGCTACCTGGCAGTAGCTGCTGATGGCTCCTGACTAATCCTCCCGGAGTTTATTCTCCAGCAGGAGCCAGAGACTTTCAAAACGTAAGTCAGACCGTGAGGTGGGAGGATAGGTAGGATGGGATTATGGGTAGGTTAGATACTGTAGGAGAAAAGATTAGTGAACTTGAAGGCACAGCCACAGAACAGTCCAAAGTGAAACAGGCACAGTGAGCTTTGGTTTAGATGTGAGGCATGCCCCAAAAGATCATGTATGAGACAACACAAGGATTTTCAGAGGTGAGATATTAGGTTGTGAGATTTATAATCCAATCTGTGGATTACTCCACTGGTAGATTAGCTGAGCTATATCTGAGGCAGGCAGGGTGTGGCCAGAGGAAAAAGGCCACTGAGACTGGAGCTCTCTGTGTCCTGGTGGCCTTGTCCTGAGCTGATTCCCTGGCAAGGCCCTCCCACCATGATGTTCTGTATCACCTTGGGCCCAGAGCTGCAGGGTCGGCCTGCTATGGACCGAACCTCAAAGCTGAAAGTCCAACCCAACTTTGCCTTCTCTGTGTTCTTCCTGTCGTCATGTGTCTCCGTCACAGCAGCACAAACCTGACTCAAACAAACTGCTGTTTGTGTTTAGGTTTGCTAAACTCTGAACCCATAGACCTGACCTCAGTGAACCCCAGCACAAGAGACTTGAGGGAAAGTACACTCAGCTACTTAATGGAGCCCTTAAAATCAGCGAGAAACTTAAAACAGCAACCAGAAAGAAAAAGAAGCTCACAGGGCTGGGGATGTGGCTCAAGTGGTAACGCTCTTGCCTTTCTAAACCAAAGCCTTATTATTTCTCCCATGGTATTCTGTCTCTCCTTCTCTCTCAGAGGCTCCTACTCCAAGATCTCTGAAATTGCTCACGCTTCTCTGCTTCTCTGCCACTATTGATTTCTTTTCGGGCTCACTGTGCCTGTTTCACTTTGGACTGTTCTGTGGCTGTGCCTTCAAGTTCATTAATCTCAGCAACACATAAATAAAAATAAAGATGTTGTGTCCACCAAAAACTAAAAAATAAATATTAAAAAAATTCTTTCTCTCTCTCTCTCTCTCTCTCTCTCTCTCTCTCAAAAAAAAAAAAAAAAAAAACAAAAGAAAAAACAACAACAAAAAAAACATGCTACAGGGGATTGTCTGAGCAGTAAAATGATACAAGGGGAACCTAGATCAACCCAAAGGACTGAAGGACACCAGATGTGACAACTGCATGTAAAAAATCGATCACTATTTTTCTATTATTTAAGCCTTTTTAGAAGATAATTGTTGCTGGATATAGTGCTGCATGTCTGAGATCCCAGTGGCTTGGGAGGCAGAGATTGGTGGATCACAAGTTCAGGGCCAGCCTCAGCAACTTAGTGAGGCCCTGTCTCAAAACAGAGAAAATAAAAGGGGTTGAGGATGTAGCTCAGAGGTTAGGCTTGCTGGGTTCAATGCCGGGTACCAAAAAAAAAAAAAAAAAAAAAATGAGCGTTTTAGGCAATAACAAATGATTTGGTTTCTAACTCGTGGAAAAAGTAAAATGTGTGCTCGTACAGCACAGAGGCCAGGAGGGGAGGATGGGAGCATGTATTTGCACGTTCGCATTCTAGATGTGAACAGGATAGTGCCACTTGAAGGTAGCCTGGGATGAATTCACTATAACATAAATAACCAAAAATATTATTTAAAAAAAGTTAGAACTAATAAACCAATAAAAGGGACAAAAAAAAAGAATCATAAAAATTCTCCCGAATTCAAAAGAAGGCAAGAAAAGAAAACAGAAAGAGAGCAGGGGGACAAACATAAAACAAACATCAAATGACCGCTTTGGACCCGACCTACTGATACCCAGCCACATGGGTTCAGTGTCCATGGTCTGGAGAGCCACGTTCAAGGGCAACTGTACACTGTTCACAGAGGCCCACCACGAGTACAGACAGACGGGAGAAGAGCAAGGGGACAGTGACAGGCTCGCCCCACTGATTCGGGGGAGGAGACCCGAGCCCACGCAGCAGTGGTCACGTAGATGGGCCAGGGTGAAGCAGGCCACTTCCTGACAGCGGGAGTGCCAGTGACGCCAGAGGACGACGCTCCTGTTGTTCACGGAAACAGTGACAGTCACAAACACACCAGGTAGAAACCAAAGGGACTGAAAGGAGCGGTGGACAGACCACCCCTGAAGTCAGGATCCCAGTCCCGCTTTCTACAATTGATGGGTCTAGTAGGCACGACACTAATCCTGGGGGCTGGGACAGGGCTCGGTGGCAGAGGGCTTGCCTCACGGGCACAGCCCTGGGTTCCATCCCAGCACCACCCAAAACAGCCCCAACCACAAAACCCTCAGACTTACCGACAGGAGGGAGCAACCCTGTGGGTCAACTTGACCTGTTGCCACCACCAGCAGTGGAATGTGCAACGTTTTCATGCACATTGGACATTTATCAAGATGGACCTGATTCTGGGCCAGGAACCAACTCTGAATAGGTCGTTGAAAATCTGAAATCACAGAGTGTATTCCACGGTAAACATGGAATTAGAAATTAGGAGTCAATACCAGTAAGATATCTGGAAAAAGCATAAATATTTAGGAACTAAATAATACATTGCTAAATAACTCATGAGTCAAAGAAGAAACCACACAGAACATTTTAAAGTGTTCTGACCTGAAGAAAGATGAAAAGACGGCCGGGCGGCAGCTTGGGGGGGAGGGGGCAGGTAAAGCAATTTCTTTTTTTTAATCATTTAATTGATTTTATTTTTTTAAATACAGGACAGCAGAATGCATCACAATTCTCATTACACATATAGAGCACAATTTTTCACATTTCTGTTTGTATATAAAGTAGGCTGGCACCAATTCGCGTCTCCATACTTGTCCTTTGGATGATGATGTCCATCACATTCCACCGACCTCGCTAACCCCTGCCCCCTCCCTTCTCCGCCCACCCCTCTGCCCTCTCTAGAGTCCATCTGTCCCTCCTACGCCCCCTCCCCACCCCACCATGAGTCAGCCTCCTGATATCAGAGGACATAACAATGACCAGAGCAGGAAAATGATGAAGAAAGTCAATAAAACCCAAGATCAGGCAGCGGAGCAAGAGGATCCCAATCACCAGGGTGAGGAAGGAGAGGGCTGGTGCCACCGTGGTCCTGCATGTTGTACAAGGGACATCGGGAGCCATTCCCACCAATAAGCCCAACAGCAGGGTGAGGTGGACAGACTCCCTGGAGGACACCAAGACAACCGGTTCCCGGGAAGCAGTAAATCCGAGCAGCCCTCTGCGTACTGGAGAAGTGGAACTCGTGTTTCAAAATCTTCCCGTGAAGGAAACTTCATCTCTACGGTGCCACTGGTTAAGTCCACCAGAGTTCAAGGAATTGGGCCGTTCTACACAAATTACAGAGGAAACACTTCCCAATTCATTCCGAGATGCAAACATTGCTCCAAAAGCGGATGGGAGACACTTTCGGGTGGGGGATGTGGATCAGAGCATCATTCCTTATGAACCAAAGTCATTAAAATGCCCACCATTTCAATCCTATTAGATATAAAGCACATCACCACCAAGTGGGCTCATCCCAGGTCTGCAAACGTGGTTTGACTCGAGAATCAGCCAGTGTAACTCGCCCATTTGCAGACTGAGAAAGGAAAAGCATCTCAACAGATGCAGAGAGTATTTCACCAACATTTATTCTAACTTAATCTCTTAGAAAAGGGAACATCCTTAACTAGGTGAAGAAATGTATGCAGACCCCCTTGACCAACAGCACCCCGGATGACGGCAGCTGTCACCTTCCCACAAGACCAGGAACAAGTAGGGCTGGTCGGTTCTCATTTCCATTCCAGATAGTTCTGAGGGTCTAGCCAACACGGCCTGGCAAGAAAAAGAAGCAAAGGGCATCCAGGTTAGAAAGCAAGAAACCTCTCTCGATCATCTCTGTAGAATGTCCAAAATTAGTCGGTTGAGCGTGGTTGCAAAAACGTAGTATCAGTATTTGAAAATCAATCATATTTCTATATATTAGTAATAAGTGGTAGGATGCTAAAATTAAATATGGGTGCCATTCACAGGAGCTTCAAAAATATGAACTATTTAAGGATACATGTGACTGAAGACATGCAAATAGACTGAGAGCGTGGCTGAGCCGCTGCATTGTGCAGAGGTCCCGTGTGTTTGTGGTGAGAGACTCGCTGCTGTTAAGAGGTCTCTTATCCCCAAGTTGATTGGTTAATTCGACCCAAGCAAAATCAAAATCTCACGGGCCTCGGTGCAGAAATGGACAGGCCCATTCTGAAACTGATAGGAAAATTTAAACGACCCAGAGTAGCCAGAACATGCTTAGAAAAGAAAACAAGTTGGGAGAGCTACGTCTTCTGGCTTCAAGACTTATTATAAAGCTACTCTGTGAAGACAGCGGCGTGCGGTGTGGACGGCAGGAGGAAGAAGTAGGTCAGCGCAAGAAGGGAGCGTCTGTAAGGAGACACACTGGGACGTGCCCAGCTGATTTACAGCAGAGGCGCCAGGTGAGGGGAGAGAGGGGGCGCACTTCCCATCAGATGGTGCTGGGGCGTTCCGGGTGCACAGGCAAAGAAACCAGCCCACCAAGACGACCACAGACCTAAGGGTAAAACTCTCAACCGTGAAGCTCATTGAGGAAAACGTGGGTGACCATCATCTGCAGCCCCCTGCCTCCTTGGGCTCCGTCAGGTATTCCAAGGTCCTCACTCACCACAGACAAACTGTAGCAGAAAGCTTCTTTCTCATTCTGCAAAGTCCTTGTGCTTTTGGAATAATTTTTAACTGATTTGAGTTTTGTTGTTACTCCTGTTGTGATCATGGCTTCGGTACCATTGACTGAGCGGACAGCATGGGACCCTGGGCTAACAAGGAGGCTCCTGGACCCTAAGTCACTCACCAAGCACGGGCCAGCACTGGGATCTTCCGCCCTGTTCCCCACCATCACGCCTGCCAGGACTTGGAGCTCATGATTCCGGATGCGCCCGGGGCTCCTGTCTCTTGGCAGATAGCAGGACAGACTCGAGGTTCTCATCTTACCCCGAGGAGCTGTTGACTCTCCAGAGGGAGGGACAGACACAAATAAACAGATAAATAAAAAAGATAATCAGACCTGCTGATTAAGTGTGATGACAGAAATCAGAGGGAAAAATGGAGAAGAGATCAGCAAGCCCACAGGACAAGGGAGGAGGAAGCAAGCCAAGAAGTCGGGGACTGACGTGCATACCGAGCCCCCGGGGGGATGATGAGAAGGCTCACAGTGTTGGCTGGGTCCCTTCAACAGATAGCACCTCCATGTCCACCGTGGGGGAGGAGTGAACCAATGACTTGTGGCAAATCAACACTCTGGGAGTGTCAAGCTGCTATGTTCCAAAGTGTGTCCCGTGGGGTCTGCTGCGTGGCTTGTTAGGAGGGAAAGCGAGCCACAAGTGCCCGTGGACTGCAGGGGCCCAGTTTTGCCAAAAGACCAGCCCCAAGCCCAGAGGCTGCCTGTACATGGATTTGCATGCATCTTTGTGAGCACAAGAGGGTGGGGGGGTTCGCCCCAAATTTGGAGGCGTGGAGGGCAGGCGAAGGGGAGAGGAGGTGTTTGTGGGATTTTCCTATGTGCCACACTCACATGTGTCACTCAGTAGGTGGATGTGTGCCACTTCTGCAAAGTGTGAAGAGGGATTTACTAAGAGAGAAAGGGTCCGCCCAGCTCGAGGCCTGAGCCAGGATGGACGTGGCGCCCAGAACAGGGCCAGGGCCTCTCTGCTCTTCTTGGTGGCTGGCGGGAGGGTGACTTGCAGGAGGAGGCCCCTCCAAGGTGTGGTTTCTGAGTGGGAAGCTGCTCGTGCGGGGTCAGGGCGCAGGCCCTTCTCTGTGAGCCCTGGTGACAGGCCAGGGAGAGCGGGCAGTCTGCAGGGGAAGGCCTGGCAGTGGCCGGGCTGCAGGTGTGGATGGGCCTTGGGCTGTCCATGCGGAGCAGCAAGAAGAGGGGTGCTGCTGGGACTGCTGGGAGGCTGGGCCGCTGCCTGTCCCTGCCCAGGAAGGACACAGCGGGAGGGAGGGGGAGCCTGCTACTGGCAGCTGTTGGGCAGGGCCATTCCAGGCCTTGGGAGCGCAGCAGGTGGCTCTGCTGACACAGACCCCCGGAACAGTAAATCCTCTGGGCTCAGGAGCCTTCGGAGAAGGCTTCCAGGGAACTTGAGCTCCAGTTCATAGAAGGCTGCTCAGAGCTCGCCCTATTTTCAACCTGCTAAAAATCCTCCTCCCTTCCCCTCGCCCTGGCAGAGGCCCCCCTAACTCCAGTCCTGGGCTGTGAGGGGTGAAGGGAGAGGTCCCTCCCTACATCTGGAGCAGGGTCCCTCAGCCCTCTCACCTCAGGCTTCCAGGCTGGCGCCCTGGGCGGGTGGCCTCATACCTTGCTCCTCACTGTGGGGTGCTCCCTAAGACCCCTCTTTGCCTCCTCTTCTCCTGTGGCCCCATGGAAGGCACGGTGTCAGAGGCGCTCCTTCTCTTCCCGGGCAGAGTGCTGGCAGGCCAACCGCAGGCGTTGGGGGGCCGGAAGGGCATCCTACGACCCTGGAGAATGCCCTGACACCAGGGGAGACCCAAGACTGCGGCATAGTGGGAGACACCCCTAACAGTGCTGCCTCCCCTGGGCTTCCTGGAGGGTGACATGAGGGTCTGAGCTGTCCTGGCCCCCTCCCTTGGGTGGCCTGTTACGTGCAGCTGACAGCACCCCACTGGCTGCACGGGGTGTGCAGGGCAGCTTCAGCACCTGCCCCCCTCCCCATTCACAGTCCCCTACACACGGTGCCAAGACTTGCTTCTGCCACAAGCCCTCAGACACATCCCATCAGAACCTCTTAGAGGGGCTGATGGGAACAAGTCGCTGGGCTCATTGTCAGGAGTTGTGACTTGGCATACCTGAGGACACGCCAGCCATCTGCATTTCCAACAGCCCCCCGCGCTCCCCCCCCCCCCGGGGATTCTGATGCTGCAGTCCAGGGTCACATTCTGCAGTCCAGGGTCACTCTCTGAGGACAAACTGCTGGAGAACAGTTGGCATCAGATTGAACTCCTCCCCAACTTTCCCTCCCTTCATCCTGCCCCCGCCAGGTTGGGGCTCCCGGGTGTCCAGCAGAGGCTCTCATGGGCACTGTCACCCGAGGTCAGGAGTGGGGCTAGAAAGGGGAATGTTTATTGGGCATCTGTGAGTGGCAGGACAGACAGTGGGCAGCGGATTTAAGAAACCAAGCAGTGAGGTCAACCGTGCTCAGCAGTAACAAGATCCGTAAGGAAACCCAGGGAGTCGCCTTCCACAGGAGGCCACGGGAGGCTCTGAGCAGGGGACACTGGCACCAGAGAAGCCAAAACAAGGGGTAGGTGAGCCAAACTGAAGAGGGCTCAGGAAGAGGAAATGAGGAATGCAAAGGTCCAGGTGGGGATGAGCTGGGTGTGGTCAGAGCTCAGAGAGTGGCACTGGCCAGGAATCAGGGAGCAAGGGAGAATGGCCCAGGATGAAACTGAGAAGTAGGCAAAGGCGGGGGTGTGCTGGTCACCTATCGCTACAAACAAGCACCCCCAAGCCTTCGTGGTGTGGAACACAACTGTTAGGCTTGAAGGTTCTGTGGGTCAAAGATCTGGAAAGGGACAGCTGTTCTGTCTCCCCTGGGTCTAGGCCCTTAGCTGGAATGACCTGCGTGGCTGGGGCGTGGCAGGTCACTCCAAGAGTTCTTCATTCCCAGGGCTGGGCCTGGTGGCTCAGCTGGGTCAAAGTGTGCTCAGGGACCATGTCATCCTGAACTCTTTCACATGGCCTCTACAGCATGCTGGACTCAGGCCAGACTGTCTTCTTACATGGCAGCCGAAGGCTCCAAGAGCTGGTGTCCCAGCCAACCAGACAGAAGTGCCAGGAGTCACGAGGCGTCATACCCACTGGTCGAGCCCTCGCAAGCCCACCCAGGTTCAGTGGGAGGAGTACTGATCTTCAGCTCTGTCTCTCCAAGGCCACAGTAGGAGCTGTGCTCAGTCTGGGTGCAGTGAGGACTTGGAAGGTTGTAAGCATCGGACTGACCTGGGCCTGTGCTGGCTTCCAGCGATGCTGCCTGGCATCCTCCTGTCACTCAGAGAATCACAGAGGACATCTGTCCAGGGCTCTCGGTGAGGCCCAGTCTGGCGACGAGCATCCTAAGTGCAGGTGTGAGAATCTTACTTTCTCTTACAGTTACACCGAGTCATTAACTCACCTCCTGTCCGCTGGGCGCTTGGAAAATGGCCCTTTGCAGATGGGAAGGGCCTACACCTTCGCAGTGGCCCGATCTATTTTCTAAACGAGGGCATCGGGTTCAAGGCAGGCAGGAGACTTGGCTGAGGCTCCAGAGAGTGGGGATGCTGGCATCTGGGCCCAGCTCCTCGGAGCCAAGCTTGGAGCTCTTTTTTCTTCCACATCCTGGGTAGGACAGAGCCCTTGGACCCTGGACTGGCTCTTCTGGCATCTGATTTCCAGGAAGGGGCACTCCATATTGAGGAGGCCCATTCTGGGCCAGCAGAGAGTTCATCCTGTGGCAGAGAATTCTCTGCTTTGTGCACACAACTGGGGATTTATAAAGCTCACCACAGAACCTGGCTGAACACACACTGTCTCTCCACTTGAGGGTCAGCATCCGGAGCACCAAGCGCTAGGCTGACCACGTCCGGCCCCCACACCTCCCTCCCAGGAGACCCTGGCAGCTTGCTCTGAAGGAGTGCCCTGCTCATCGACTTCAATGTGCTCATGAAAAATTCCCCATGAAACCACTCTGCCCACCGTACGTACCCTACTGTTTGCGTTTGTGTTTAATACACGCTGTACTTTTCTGGTGCCCAAG